ATTAATGGTCGAACAATAAAAGCACATTCACATTTCGTTACTGAAGATGAAATTGCTCTTATGTCAGGTACTCATATGATTGTTCAATCACAACTTAGTCCAGCGCCGAATTTATATATTATTCATTTGAAACAAGTAGAACCAGAAATGATGACACTTGAACCACCATTTGAAGGTATTTCAATCATTTATTGAATATATATATATATTAGTAATATTTTTTTTGAATATTTAGGCGCACATATTTATCCAAAAATTCCGTAAGTCTAATTTAATATTTTTCTAATTATTTTATTTCTTTTTATTCATATAAGACGTCCATTTTATCGAAAGAAACGATTTATGATTCCAGCGTGTTTATTACTTACTCTTCTTATTGCAGCTGTTGTTATTGGTGTCATTATGGGGACAAAATCAAAACCAACAAGTATGAAATTTGAATATTCTTTTTCTATTTTAAGAGAACTTATAACATTTTATTGCATATACATATTCATAAGTAATAAATAGATTCTCATATAGTTTCTTATCTAGTTAAATTACAAATATTTCAATTAATTTATTCTATATTTTAATAATAATTTTTTTGATTATTCTCTACCAATTGAGTGACTTATTGTTTTGTTTTAGAATATGTATGTGATAATCCATTTGAACCAGCCGATGCTATCGATACTGGAAACTTTCCATCTTCTTCTGTACTGGGCTATTTCGATAATGATACATATATCGATATAGCAATTGCAAATTCAAACGATGATACTGTGTCTGTATTACTAGGTGTTAAGGAGCAAATTTTTCGAAGTACACGACCTGCTATTGGTGAATCACCATCTAGTATGATATCAGTCGACTTGAATAACGACAACAAAATAGATTTAGTAGTAGCGAATACAGATGACGATACAGTTAGTGTTCTATTTGGTTTGGGAAATGGACTTTTTCTGGATGCAGTCGATTATGATGTTGGTCAAGGTCCAAATTATTTAACATCTGCTGATTTTAATAATGATAGTCAACCGGATTTAGCAGTAACGAATCGAGATGACATTACTGTTAGTATACTTTTTAACAATGGATTTGGTCTATTTCCAAATAGTACCTACTTTTCACTTAATTTCACCGCATCTGTTATAATCGCTGGTGATTTCAATGGTGATAAAATCATGGATTTAGCATTGGCATTTACTTTGAATCCCTCTGTTAATGTATTTTTTGGTATTGGAAGTGGGAATTTTAATCTTGCACCTAATTATAGTACTGGTTACTATCCAATTTCTATGATATCAACTGATATAAATAATGACAAGAACCTAGATTTAGTAGTATCCAACAGTGATGATGCCACTCTCACTATACTTCTTAACAATGGAGATGGAAGTTTTACAACATCCACTCTTAATTCGGT